CATCATGAAATTTTGCTAAAAAGCTATTAACATTTGATTTTAGTCACAGCAACAGCAGGGGGGCGGGTAGAGCTCAAGGGTAGAGCGCGTGCTTAGCATGCATGAGTTTTGCCGAAATGTCAGCCCCCGTCCCTGACGAGCCAAATAACTCAAAGACCGGGTCTTGGAGCTTAGAGGAAAAGAGTCAGCTTTATTGCTTTGCCGGGCAGAGGGAACCCACAGCAGGCTGATGCCTTCAAAACTGTGAACCCCCCTTGGGGATGGGGTGGGGTGGTTACAGTCATAGCTTAGGCAATCAACATTTATCTTGTCACAAGATTTCTTGGCGTCGGGACATCCTCAGGCAGTAGTTACATAGAGACTGGTAGTTGTAACTTTTCCAGTCTTTTCATCTCGTAAACACCTGTGGTGTGTTTCTCCTTTTTGACAAATTAGCCTGTTTTGCAGGGTTACGGCTCCGTGACCTTCTTCCTGGAGAACGACTCAGAAGCCAAACATGGTTATAAATTTTAATTGCCAGAGTAAAGTAAAAACAGTGAAATCAATAACTTTAGCTTTAACAATGGGCCTGGGGCTGGGGGCAGTGTCCGACCAGTCGGGTTTGCTGACTGTGCTAAGAGCAGGCGGTAAGCATAAAGCCGAGAATTTGTTAGCCTATGTGCAGCCATTTTATTATTTCTCCTTCATGAGGTCCTGGGTTCAATCCCCAGTATCTCCTCTAAAAATAAATAAACTTAAAAATAAACCTAGTTACCCCTCCTCAAGAATAAGAACAAAGAAATACAGGTATGAGTATAATGTGTGTGTTACAATTTGTATAAATTTTATTTTAGGAGGAAATGGGAACGTTTAGGATGCGAGTCCAGGAAGTGGTGAAAGAAAATGAAGAATTGCACCAACAGTTAAATAAGAGTAGCCGTGTCACCAGTGAGGAATGGCAAGTGGTGTTGTGCTTCTGGTATTTTGCTAATTAAAAAAAAAAGATACTAGAATAAACTTTATTAAATTATCAACTATATCTGTATTTTAACTAAAAAATTTTGAGAGCGTTTCTAAGAAATTACTACGTGCAGTGAAAAAAATCTACTAAATTATTCTAAACTTGCATTTGAAAGATTACTTTAAAAATTCTAGGGGGGATGGTTATAGCTCAGTGGTAGAGCGCATGCCTAGCATGCACGAGGTTCTGGGTTCAATCCCCAGCCCCTCCATTTGAAATTTTACATTTTAAGAAGTTACTGAGGCAGTTGACAATTCAAACTTCATTACTGTCCTTTCCCCCAGTTTAGTGGAAATGGCCAGATTTACTGTGTTAATAACATGTTTAATATTAAAACATGTCCAGATACTTACTACCTGCAACACATCAAGTGCTTTCTTTTAGACTCGGGAGTGTCTCTGTAATCATTCAGCACCCGAATGGCAGTATTTAATTTTGTAAATCACTTGTAGGCATCAGCTTCAGACTCAAGCAGGACTGGTTTTAGAGGAAAACCAGTTGTTGTTAGAGCAGTTGGAGATTCAGCAAAAGAAAGCCAAGGACACCCACCGGGAGCGTCTCCAGGAAGGTGAGCGATCTTCCTTGTGAGTGATGGCGAGGCTGTGATGTCGTTTGTGTGTCATTTTACACCAGCACCCCACTCACATTGGAAAGGAGAAGTCATGTTTTTTAAAATGGACCCTTCTAGTGAGGGAGTGTGTAGCTCACTTGGTAGAGCACATGCTTAGCATGCACGAGGTTGGGGGTTCAATCCCCAGTACCTCTATTAAGTAAGTAAATAAATAAACCTGATTACCTCCCTCTCAAAAAAAAAATGTATGCTTCTTAACTAAAATGCAGCTGTTTACGTTACAGCATATCCCGGCCAATGCCTGTGACGCACTGACTGCTTTCTCTTAGACTCCAAAGTATCTCTCTAATTATTCTATCATTTGTAGGTGACAGCTTTAGAGTCAGCAGAACGGGGTTCGGAGGAACCAGTGTGCCATATAAGTGGGAAAAATCAGGGCTGGGGAGAGGATATAGCTCTGGTAGAATGTGCTTAGCATGCACGAGGTCCTGGATTCAATCCCCAGTAGCTCCATTAAATACATAAATACCTAGTTACAGGACCCCCCCAAAGGTGGGAAAAAATCATGTGAGATGAAGAGTTGAAACAACACAAGGACATGTTCCTGAAAACATGTTGAATGAGTAAGTAAGTGGGGACCATTTGCTCTCTACACAGTCTCTCTGTGCCCTTCCTTCAGCGCTGCTGGCGCTGTCCTAGGTTAAATCTCCATCAGTTACTTGCTGTGAGTGCCCCCTCTCTCCACGTGTTCCTCCCTGTCCCTAGCAGCCTCATGGCATATGACAGTGGACTTTGGAGTGGCCAGATTGAGTCATTTCTTCCACTTTGATTAAAACCAAAACTTGCAAAAGATAGTGGCATTTTTTTCCTTTGGCTTCCGTGATTTTTCTTTTCTGATGAAGAACAGTATTGGACAGGAGGCCAGAACACCAGCTGTCCCATGTGAGCCGGTGTCACCCCCTCCTTTCTGTCTCCCCCACAGCCCCTGTTATTTAATGGCCCCCCTTTCCGCACGGCAGAGGAGCTCACTACCAGCCTCCACTGTTGCTGAAGCAGCGCTCGTGCTTGGCTTGTTTCTGAGCCAGGTCGTGTCTGCAGTGAGAGCACCTCTCAGTCCAGCAGGAGTGTCCTCCCGCGGGACTCCCCCGCAGACCGTGCAGGCACCGGAGTCGTCGCCTTTCCCCTGGCACTGTTTAGGGTTGAAGAGGGGGAGAAAGTTGCTGTGTCTCTGTCTTTGTTTTCAAGATGAGAGATGACAGGGTAATTAACTTCGTATTTACTGAGCTTAATCTTCTCAAACCCAGCAGATCTAAACAGGTAGGATGATTCTTCTGGTCATGTGGGGCAGGGCCATCCTTTCGGTCTGGATGATTCAGACAGCTGTCCGTGCTGTTTTCCCATTTCCCAGAAACAGCTCTTCATTTTGATCAACTACATGTTTTTACAGAGTAGGAGGATTTAAGAGTTCCATGCGATAATACTTTTAAGTGCTCATTTCAGCCAATACCTGAGAATTATCTTAATATTACATACTTCTGTGTCACTTAGGATGAAAATGTTTATGATTTTCTTTCACTACAGAACGTCGAAGAAAAACTTAATGAAGAAAAGGGAGAAAAATAAATTCTGTCCTTAGTTGGGCTATATTTGATGTCCTTAAGAATCTAGAAAATCTTGCATTGTTAGGGGCAGCATCATGATACGTACTCGCACACCTGTGTGTGACATGGCTTCAGTCTTTGGAAAGTCAGTTCCATGAAGACTGAAATCACGTCTTGTTAAATATCATATATTTAACAGTAATATCAACATGTTGAACCCCAGTAAGAAAGTATACATTTAATGAATACTTAATATAGTGGCAGTAATTTCTAAGTAAAAATTCTTTGGTATTAATTTCCAAATCTCCAATAGATTTTTTAAAGGTCATTTTTTATAAACTGGCTCTCATTAGTATTAGTAATCAGTAACCATGCATTATTAAGTCTTCTGTACCAAGTCTTTGTCCATCTCTTTTGTTTTTCAGTTTCTAAACTGACTAAACAACTAATGCTCCTGGAGAGTAAAACACAGAGCCAAGAAAATGAGCTCGCTGCAAATAAGGAGCAGCTGGAGCTCTTACATACCGAATGCCAGGAACTGAAAACGTGCTTGGATGGCAAAGTTGCAATGGACGTTCACACTTCAATTGTAAATGAGTTAAAAAGGTGCGGGTGTAATATCTTTCCAAGTGTTAATGCATCACCATGCATGTTATTGAAGGCAGGTAGAGAGAGGTTGCTCCATCTTTTCTGAGTCACTGAGCCTCACCAGCACAGGTGTCCACAGCTGAGAATGGTAAATATTTTATCCAAGTAGAGCATGGCTGTCCTCAAGGGCTGTGGTCTGCACTTTGCGTGTATGTATGGGATTTTTTTCCCTACTGTTCCGCCCTTTCTTGTTTCTAGAACCAAAGTAATAGAGCTGGAAATCTGGATATCCAGTCATAGAGACCTGATTAAATGAAAGGATAGAACCATAAAGTGAAATACAATGCAGCCATTAAACATGATGTCACACAAGGCTGTTTTTGACATTGGAAAATTGCTACAATAGATTTGTAAGTGAAGAGATTGGGTTACAAAAC